CAAAAGGTCACAATTACTTAACATGAGCCTTACTATATGCCAGGTAGAGTTCTAAGCTCTTTATACACATTAACCCATTAAATCCTCATTAACCACCCTGTGTTACAGGGACTCTTATAGTCCCTACCTTAGAGATGAAACTGAAGTTCAGAGAGGTCGGCCTACTTTCTCAAGGTTAAACCATCGGTGAGAGCAAAACCAAGGCTTAAACCTAAGCATTCTGTCCCCTAGGTTTGCACACACAACCTCTCTGCTGTACAGCCCAGTAAGTAACCAAATCAGAATATAAATCCAGATCGGTACAATACCAAAACTCATGTTCTCTCTACTATGTCACAGGGATTGCAGAGCATATATATAGAGGCAGAATCACAAAGAAGTATTTCTAGAATCTCTTAGTTTCAAGAGAAAAAACAGGTTTGGCTGGCCATTCAAGAGATGTCATTAGCAGAAGTGGGAGACCTGTCACCTAGTCCTAGAAAAGCAACATAACTAATTTAAGGCCTTCTCAGTAGGAGCAGAGGGTTAAGCTTGCAAAGCCCTTTGCCCGAGTTGTCAACTAAAGTATCAGAGAACGCATGACTCAGCATCTTCTGCACAAAGGAATGGAGTCAGCATTGGATTAAAATTTAACTCTGGGCCAGAGATGTCAAACAACTTGAAGCAAGAACTCCTGGGTGGCCAGAGTGCATTGAGCATATAATAAGGTCAACTTCTAGGTAGGGGACAGAAATAGAGGAAGGCTGGGGCTAGGAATAGATGGACCACTGTGTGGGGAAAACTAACAGTACAGTTAAAAAGAAGCAGGGATTCTGGACCAAAAGACCAAATTAGGAAGCCAACTGCTAAATAACCATCAGGTAGTGCCTCCAAGGTGCAGTGATTGGCATACTCACTGGTCCTAAGTATGTTTATTTTTTTGTGCCCCGGGAGCTGCCAATATCTGGATATGACTAGTCTGGAATCTTAGAGAGAATTCACAGATGAACTGCTGGCTGGGTGAGGTGAATGAAGGCAATGGAGGAAAATCTGCTTGTATTTTCAAATGGAAACAAAGGGGAGGAAAAGACTTTCAGGGTGAACAGAAGCAAACACATTGTCCTCTTGTATCTCTGAACTGACTTCAACTCTCTTACTTATTTGATTTCTTTAATCAAATGTGCATTGATTTTGTTTGTTTGTTTAAATGAGGCCACTTTGAGAAATTTGGCTTCCTAAGACTAAATGGGACAAATCATTTGTCAACAACAGCAACTAAAATCACTGTGTCTTTCTTGGGCAACTGTTCAAAATTGCAAACACAGCCTTAGAAGGAGGATTTAAATCATAACCAGAGTTTCCAAACAATTCATTAACTTAATTACCATAATAACCATTACTTAAGGAAGTAACTTTAACCCCGCTGAATTACTCAATTAACATTTTTCAGATGCTGAAAAGGAATAATAGCACTGAACTAATAATCTATGTCCAAAAATGAAATATGATTGAGATAGATTATCTACATGCCTGAATTCACTTCACTTGAAATTTGAAGCTTGTCAAATATTCTGGTGGCAAATCTTCAAAGTTATCTGGGCCAGAACCAAGTAGAAAGGGCTCACCAAGTTATAAAATTAAAGTGCAGTACCTCATCTTTCCCTGTGAGCAAAGTATCTTCCAAAATTACTCCTGTCTCTGAAACTAGTACTTTTACTCGGTACTGGTTAATAATTCCATTTGGTTGTTGTGGTTTCTTCCAAGTAATCCTTATTTGAGTGGCTTCTACTTCTGCAACCTGTAAGCCAGACACCACACCAGGAACTGAAAAACAAAATAAGGAGAGGGAAAATTAAAAATACACTCTCAAATTTTTAAAATTCTCTACATTCTTTGTTCATGATTTAAGATATGTAAGCACTTCTATTAGAAAATAGACCAAAACAATTTACTTATTTATTAATAATTAAAAATATATAAGATTCTTTAAGTATACAAATATTTAAAGTTAAATTTCTAAACATTGTTCTAAGAAAATGTACATAAGAAATAGGATAGCGTGGAATAATTTCCCCAAATCAAAATGTCATAACATTTGTTCAAAACAAATTAACAAAAATAAATTCCCAGAGAAAGTTGTTTATGGATGATTAATTAATGTCCAGTAGAAATCTTGAAGGCTTTATAATAATCATAACATACAAAAAAATATCCAGAACACTTTGAATGTAATTCCATGTAGTTAGTAAATTCAGTTAAGCTAGTTTAATTTTATTACATAAAATTATTTAAAAAGTTGACTGATTACTGACTTTACAAATTAATTATGTGACTCAGATTTCAGGTGCTCTCATTCTTTGCAATAGAAAGAAAAAGAGGAGAAGAATAACAATGGATTTAAGATGAAGTACCAAGTACTTAAACAAGTTCTCATTTGAAAGTCACTGAGTGGTGATCATTTTGTAATGTATAATAGTATCAAATCACTATGTTGTACATCAGAAACTAATATATTATTGCAAGCCAATTATACATACATACATACATACATATTTGTCACCAAGTGCAACTTCTGGGAAACCAGTGCCACATAATAATGAACCAAAAATAAAGCTGCTCTGGGCTTTTGTCCATTTTTTGTATATAGATCAGTTTGTGATTATAAATAGCTAATTCACCCCTCTATCTTTAGTTTTCTTATCTATAATGGGTGTTATATTGGTCCTATCACTATACCAGGTTATTATAAGAAACAAATGGTTCAAACGACTTTACAAAATGTTGGTTCAAGGAAGAAAAAATGTGACATAAAAACATTATCCCTTATGATTAGAATGTGGTACACATTAAACTCATTTTCTTAAGCTGAGATATTTCACAGTAGTATGTTTAGTAAATTCCAGCTAGAAGAGGAGGGATACATTAGGGGTATAATACAAATGAAAAATGACTCTGTTCTTTAAGGTAACAGAAAGGAACTGAAAATTTGTATCACAACTCATGTAAGTATTATTTATAATAATGAACCTAATTGTGCTTAAGTAAACCACACGTAAACTGTATGGAGTTTTCACCCAATAGATTGAATTGTTTCTTTGTTAATGTGTCTCTACAAAGTAACCAGTGAAAAAAAAAGCCTCCTAGATATGATAACAATATAAATAATTTCAAATATTTGTTCAAGTTAATGGCTAGATGGATAAATAAGTCACTCTGGACTGACTGTATTATTTAATTATTGCGGTCAAGTTTCCAGTGTCCATTATGGAGAAAACCTGGGCTCAAACCTGAGAAATAAACATGGGTACACCTCTAATTTGCTTATTCTTGGAATTCTCTTTTTTCTAAAAACATTTTGGTATATCTCCATATAGAAGGATTTCCCCACAGGTGTTCTAATCTGAAAAAAAAAACCTGTTTGACCTCTTTGAAGGATGGAGGAAGAGTTGTAGGCTAGGACCCTACCATTCCTGATTGATTCATTCATCATTCAACAGAGTGAGCATTCATCATGTGGTCACCATTCTAGGCACTCGAGGGTAGAGGAAGGAATAAGACAGAGTAAGTCCTTTGCACAGGCTACCTCTTATACAAGTTTTATTTCATTAACATACATTTTCCTAAAGCTTATGTTTCTACCATCATATTTACCAATATACTTTTTCAAGAGGAGAGGAACTTTCCAATTAACATTGTAGTGTGAAAATAACACAGCCATTTAAACACAAAGATCCAATTCTACCTTTCCTTCACATTGTATTTTAGGATAGCTATGCAGACAGTTTTAGTCAGTACTGAATAACATAAATCATAAAGGAGATTTGGCATTTTTCCACTGAATTTGAGCTTATGTAGAATCTCAACTACAGATGCCAATTTAATGACTACATTGATCAGATTAATCAGGTTACTCAACTCTGTCTACTATACAATGAATTGGTCAGTTTCATGTGATGCAACAAAATAATGTAGTAGGATACCAAAATTTACCCAGCAGATCAGAATACATATATATATAACTTAGTAAGTATTGCCCCATGACACTAATGCCTAAAATTACAATCCAAGTAAAGGTTAAGTGGTTCTATATTACCCAAAAAATGGACTCCAAACTTGTGTAAAAATGACTGCAAACTTCTTTCACTTTCTTTTTTTTTTTTAACAAAAGAAAAAGCCTAGAGAATAAAGGAAAAGGGAGTAGACAGTATTGTATCTTGTCTTTAGAAAGACACTCGATATGTTACACCACAAATTCTTATGGAGAAACCAGAGAAGTGTGGATTAGATCAAACTCCTTTAATATTGATACCAAATTAACTAAAGAAAATCAAACACACAAGGCAATTATTCATGGTTCAGCCTCAGTTCTGAAGGTGTTGTCCATGGGGACTACCTAAGAATCATTCTCAAGTCAACACATCTATAAATTTTACTAGTAAATTAGAAACAGAGGATACATATAACTGGTACAACATAACTCAAATAATTTTAAGTTTTCAAATGAAAAACTCCTTAAAAAAACGAAATAGAGACAAATGGCACAGGGGTAAAGAAAATGCATTAAAATAATTTTTGCAAATTAAACTTCCATTAGAAGTGCCTTTAAAAAAAATCTACTGAAAAAATAAGTCATAGAGCATCCTGAAAAACACAAAACTGACAGTCTCTCAGTGATTTCCCTACAAAGATTTTACTACTATTTGCAGAAAGTAGCAAGTTGACATCAGTGAGGACAAAAGTCTTTACTTCCATATTCTTTTTATAGAGGAGTAAATACAGATTTCACTATTTTGTTTTTAAGAAATGGTAACCTCCTTAAAAGATATTTGACACTAATGACAGAGAAGTTTAAGGGGACACTGAACCAACAAATTTTACTTAAGATTTTTTAATCCCCAAATAATAAGAAAATGCTGTAGCCTATATTATATTCAGCAACACTGGCTCATTTTGGAATGGGCAAGTCTATGCTATTTTATACCGTTGGAGATGATTAAATTGCCAAATTTTGTAAAATCTTCTCTTCTTCATGCCTATGTAGAAATCTGTTCAGTAAAATATTAAGGGGTAAGTAGAAACCTTACAAAATGCATAGGATAACTGCTTTAACAACAGCATGTTGATTTTCTTTGATAATCAAAGTAGACTGTGGACCGTAATGCTCTCAGTGTTAATAAAATCAGCCCCATTATAATGTGTTGACACATATTTTCTATTAGAAATCAACTCTATTTTTCTATGAATGTCTGAAGATTTCTTAGAACCCCAGTTGTTTTAAAATATGTTAATTTAAAAGCTAGTTCCTAATTAATTTTTAAATACACTATAGACCACTTTTAAATATGGAGAAGAAAATAGAGCAACTTCAATTAGAATATAAAGAACCCTGCTGTATTAAGGAATGAAAAGAAAAATCTAAAATTACAGTATCAATTTTAATTGAAAGTGCAGAGTTCTAGTGAGTTATTAGATTGTTCTCATGTAGCTTAAAGACTACTTTAATGCAAAGTTTTAATTAGTGGGACCAGGATTAATTACTGCTGTCAGAGCCTACAGTCCACTGAAATTCCTCCTAAGACTGAACCACCCCTGAGAACTCCGCCGGGAGGAGGCTGGCATGCAGAGGTAAGAACTGCGCCTCTCCTGCCCTTCGAGAAGCCCACCTGCTGCCAGGGGGATCCTCCTGAGAGCCACCTGGATGGGGTCTATGTGGTGAGTAGCTCAGGAGACAGTATGAAAAAACTTAGGATAAGCTGCTTGCTACGCAGGGCGAATAATTATCTATTCAAAATAATTTGGCATGAAAAATAATGTGAAATATATTGAACTATGTCCTTAGAATTCTACTTATTATTTTGTCAGGAAAAAATAAAGAGAAAGGGACATTTAAGTGATATTCAAAATAAACAACATGGTATCATACATGGCAATGTGTTATCTATTTCCCTGCTTTTGTCAAATGCTATAGGCGAAGAATAATGACAATAAAACAAAAATCTTAAATTGTGGATTCAGCTGAGGAGCACCAAAATCAGCTTGACCTGAAAGAAGACTGGATTTTAATTATGTAACATGAGAATAGAAATTAGTTGGTCAATTGGGTTGTTTGAGAAAACGTGATGAAAATCAAAGTCAAGGGCTCTAGTCTGCTGAGGGTCAGGTTGCTCTGTCGTGTTTGAGAGCCACCCATAAATCTGCCTAGATTTCTTGAAAATGAAGAGCAGGTTCAGGTGGAGATGGGGGACACTTAAAGTCTAATGGAGAAGACATACAATGCTAAGACTCTTCTGATAGAAACGGAATGGAAAAAAATCTGATATGAAAAAATAAGAACATTTGGCTTATGAATGTGCATCTCTTTTTTAATCTGTGTATTGAAACTATATACACATTAAGATTTTCATTTCAGATCGATATAACTTTTACGTTCTTTTAACAGCAAAATGCTATCAGCGGTTAATTGTTCTTTGAAAAGAGAGAAGAGGACAAAATTCCCTAATAGTTGCTGCCCTCTCATGGTCAAACACTTGAATGATTTATCTGATGACGTTACGCCCAGTCTTGTGTGTGTTGGTGTGCAGGTGCCTATGTGCACACGTGTGTATTTAATTCACATGTTACTATATGTTAGCTATCACACAAACAAAATCTGAAAACTTTTTCAAGTTTTAGTGTAATTGTAAAGAAAATACTGTATTCTCAATAATTACAATCTACAATAATTGCAATTTTACAATTAAATAGAAATGACAGCACTGAGCAAGCTTGGTGTGGGCCCAGAAAACAGGTTGCGCCATGGTATGGTGACATGTTTTTTAAACACTACAATTTTCCTAAAACTGTGATCTTTTATATACACAAATAAAAAATTTCTTCAGGAGAATTTTTTTAAATAATTTCATTCTAGGCTAGTAAATTTGTATTATGCACCTTCCAGGAATCACTCCTTGCTTAGAATGTCCTTGTGATTATAAATATACTTTATTATAGTCATTGTGGGATATATGGATTCCTCTGAACATTATTATGTTGGAAAATAGTCTACGGTAACTAATATGGGTTAAATCATGTTAAAGGCATTTATTTGTTTAAGCCTTCTTGAGATTTTGCCAATATTGATTGTGAATCATGTAGGCTGATACTGCACGTCATGGTTCCTAATCTAAGTTGATCTTTGGTCTCTCTTATTCTGAAGCATGCTATGGGTGTAATCTTCTGAGGAACACACGTTCAGAATGTATTAGGGAGCAGTCTGATGAGGGAATAACACGAACTGGGTAAATATAAACCAACTAGATTCTAATATAACGTTTAACCAACCGATGCAATAATATTCTCATTAACACACTCACTAAAGGAGATATTCTTACCCTCTGGAGGAGTGAAGACTGAAATATTTGACTTGGGTCCAATCCCTGCACTGGTTTCAGCTGCAACATACACGTCATACATTGTAAATGGTGTTAGATTACTGAATGCAAATTTAAGGTCTTTTGTGCTATTATCCAAAATCCGACCTGCAAAACGCAAAAGATAACTTTGGATTATTTATTCGTCAAGTATGTAATCATTCTCACATTTAAGTATAGAGCAATCATAGTGTTAACCTTTGTTATGGTTATGTGCTAACATTTGTTATGAAAATTTTAAGAGTGAATATATTTTAAACATTTAGCTCTCATAGTATTGCATTGACATCAATTTAATTAAACTGGAAAAAAACATGAAAATCTTCCTGTGTTTAAAAATACTTTTACATAATCATAAGGCGCTGTTGAACTACAACTTTATTTTTGACATATTTAAAAGGGACACATTAGTTTTTACCAACATAAAACAGTAACAATGTTTGATACTGAAATTCATTTCATTAAAATGCTAAATAGTCTTATTATCTGCTATAAAAAGATATACTGAGAAAGTTTCTCTATTAGCTTCTAAGCAAAATTCCTTAAATCTCAACCTTACCTCTGAAGAGTTCTTTCACCTTCTTGCTCTAACTTAAACCCGGTTCCACCTTAAGAATGCTGCTTCTGTTCCCTGCAGGCAACCCGAATGGTGACAGTCTGTTTTTCCCCAGAGCCCTCAGGTGACGAGGCGCTCAGGTGTGGTATATGATCCCCTTGCTCCTCAGTGCCCTGTCATAGGCTATTCTGGCTCCCTCCGTAGAAAAGCTCACAGCTGCAGCTCTCATGTCATCAATGACATCCACCAACCCTCGTGGTTGTAGTCTTCTTCCGATCCCGGGGTCTCCCACCCTCATTCTGGATGGTTTAGCTCCTGCTTCGACGTCACTTTCTTCAATGCTACCATCTGAATATGTGATGATTTCAATACCCCTGGAGAGAATCCTTAAACCATTCCAAGCTCTCCTTAAATAATCTAGTCCTCCACCCTATCTCAGTCACTCCCTCATGGTCATAAATTAGACTGTGCTGTTACCAGTAACTGCAAATCCTCCATTATCTCAATTTCATGTAGCTGTCCCTGACCACGCTTCCTATCTCCTGCTCACTTATTCTAGAAGCCAGAACCAACAATTTTTCAGTCCCCCAGGACCTCCAACTCATTTATCTTACTACTTATTTTATTTGGTTTGGTTCCTCACCACTTGATGTCCACTCTTTATCCAGTCTCAATGTCATTGTCAGTAATAATCACTGCCTTACCTAAGCCCTCTCTTGCTGATGGGAGCTGGAGAAAAACACAAATCTGCTCTGACTGATATCACTTTATTCATCCCCATGCTTGAGCCCTAAATGGTGCCCAGCACTTCACTCAACTTCACTAGGGCAGTCACTCTACTCTTCTAGATGAACATTTACACTTTCTCTTCCCAGTTGATGGTCTTGCTTCTCATTACACTGGAAAAATTATAGCATCGGCACCCATAGACTCTGCCTCACAACCTGTTACAATAGACAAAGCATCTGTATTCTTATCTCAAACCATTCCCTACACTTGAGCCAAAGATCTCATTTTCTGCCTACATGAAGACATCTTTCCAATAATTCTTGCCTTTTTGCATCACTGTTTTTTCCTTTTTTCTTTATTCCCATCAGCAAACAAACACGCTTTGTTTCCTCTGAAAAGAAAACCTGTTAGCTCTGCTTACCTCCACCCCCAATCCCCTCTTCCATTCACTGCTTCATTTTGCAGCAAAACTCGAAAGAGCTGTCTATCACCCACTGCTCCAATGCCTTCTCCCATCCTTTCTTAAATCTACTGCAATCAGGCATTTACCCCACATACTGCATCCTAACTGCTCTTGTTAAGATCACTAATGACTTCCATGTTGCTAAATATGATAGCTGCTAGATGCATCTTACTTGACTTATCAGCCTCACAGACGAAAGAGGAAGTTTTAGAAAATAATACCAAATAGAAAAGGTGTGTCTGGGTATCCATGTGTGTCTGCGTAATGAAGCGAGAGGGGAAAAAAGAGACCAGAATGTTTTTAGATCTACAATTATTTCAGAATTTTAAGAGCATAAGGTAATTAGGGATGAGAAATAAAGGTTACTCGTGTAATTCATGATAGATCCCTGGAAGTTTCAAAATGAGTAATCTGGACCTTCATCTATTTTTCCATTCTCCCAAGTAAATGATAATATGTTAGCATATGTTATTTCATTATTCACAGAACCATAGAACCTCAGAGTACAAAAGAATTTTAGAGTTTACTTAATTAACTTTGAAAAATATAGTTTATGAATCCCTCAAAATATCTGGCAAGTGGATGTCCAGCTCCTGCTTGTTTATAAAGTTGGTGAACTGCTACATTATAAAGTTGCCCAGATAGTTTTTAGAGAGCTCCAATTATTAGAAATGGTTTCCTTATTCTAAGTAGAAATCTGATTTAATATAACCAAGCCCATTGTTCTTCATAAATCTATTTGCAATCAGAGTAAGTCAAGGTCCTCCTGTTCAAATATTTGAAGACATGTATCTCCTCTAACACTTCTCTTCTTGAGGAGTTATCTCTTGTTCTTTCAGCTCTTTGTCATGAAATATGGAACATGGACAGTGTTTTACCATCCTTACAGTTATTTATGGTTTTAAACAAAAAGTTCAGAGAGCCTCACCTTCCTTATTACTTTTCTATTATTTGCTTCAATTACAGGGTCTTCTATAAAGAGTTTGATACTGAAAAAGTTTGATAATAGTAATTTATTTTATATAATTTTTACTCCAAGTGATAAACACAAAACTGATTAATACTTACCTGATGGTCCATATAATTCAACTCTGTAACTAAATTTTCCTGTTACTATAGTTGGTGGGTCCCATGAAATTGAAAAGGACTTTCCTGTAATGTTGCCTGTTATACAGTTCTGTGGTGGTCCTTCAGGCACTAAAATAATTATAGAGGAAAAAAATGAATAAATAATAGATAAATATTTAAAATTTATTTTAAAGGACCTTATTCAATACACAAAACACACAATCAGAGGAAAAAATAAAATATCACACATCAAACTTTTTTCCACTTAAAAAAAAGCAAAACATAGACTATGATCGAAGAATTTGAGTAGGTGGTGGATCATTAGATGAAATTCTTATTGGCAACAATTACTAGTTTTATTTAATGCTGTATATGATTGCACACGGTGCTTCATTCCTATACAGTTCATTGTACAGTTACACTGCTCTGAAGCATTTACATGTATTGCAGTCAACAAGCCCTGGGTATCTGGCTTGATAAACATTGCCCCTCAGGTATAAACAGGTAGACGGGTCAAAGGAATAACTTAATCTTCAGAATCTATTGGCAGTGATTTTATTTTTTGTATCAACATCAATTTTGTATCAGTATCAATATCTGTATTTGGTTCTGAGAGGAAATTTATAACTTACATTCTAATGTAATATTGGTAACATATAAAACTAATAATGATATTTTAAAACAGTCTGTTTTTCATAGATGTTTCTATATTTTACTTTTTAATTGAAATGAAACATTCCAAATATTTTTAAAAACAAAGTTTTTGTCTACCAAACTTCACTTTGTGTGACCCACGGGAAATGCTTTCTCTTTCTTTTCTGTAAGAAGTTAAGAGTGTGGAAGAGGAAATGTTCTGAGTCAAAAATATTTAAATCAAGAAAAAGCTTTCAACCTTACATGTAGTGAAATAATAAGACCTGATACCTACATCCTCAGAAAAAAATACTACACTTTAGTGAAATTATCCTATTGGTAATAATTTCCAGTAACCCTCCAAATTATCAATCACGACTCAATGTCTGATACTATAGATTCAGTATGGTATTATGTAGTATGGTTATATATGCGTGTGTATGTATGTATATACATTTATATGGACACTGATATAATATCATAGCTAAATATATAAATATCACATCCAGAAATATGTACTCTTAGAATTTAGTAGTAATAATAATATCTAATTATAACTCATTCAGTACTAACACCATCTTCCTGAGACAGATACTATTCCTACCTCCATTTTTCACGTAAGGAAACTGTAGTACAAAGAGGCTACAGGTAGGTATTTTTTAACTACTGTTTTTATCTGGTACTGAAATGTCAATCTCATGATATTTCTGCTCCTGCAGGAGTTATCTCCACACCTGGTAACAGCAATATCAGTGAGAGAAGTCATCTACAGATGGCTATAAAGATGTAGAAGGGCAGAGATGATTATGAAAAATTGCTGAGATCACAGAATGCTTAAAGCTGATCTAGTATCACGGTTATCAGCTCAAGACTCTTTTCTTTCAAATCTCCTTTCTCCTTTTAGTGGCTCATGTTTGTATCAAAAAAGAGCACTAAAATTGAAGATGCTCGAGATGGGATGCCTATTTTTTGTTATTAGGGAGAAAAAAGTTACTGAAAGGGAAGGAGGGTTTTAACAAAAATATCTATATGAAAAGATTAAAGATGATTCTATGAATCATTTAACTTTTTTCCCTTACAAAAAAAAAAAAAAAAGAAAGAGAAGCCATACCTGATTCTGGTGTCCTGACAATCGTACTATCAATATAACCTGCTTCAGTTGTAACGGCAGAAACTTCAAAAAGATACGTTGTGTAAGGTCTCAAGTGTGTCACTACAAAACTGACAGGCTCTTTCCACACGGAGCTAACCTTGCTCCGTGCCAGCATGCTCGAAGGATACGTGGTGCGTGATGGAGGCGTGACTCTACCAGGGGCTGGAGAAGGGCTGGTTGTACTCCATAAAAAAGACTCATTATTATCCTAGTGAATAAAACAAACATCAATGGAAAACCAATACGGTGTCACTTGGTGAAGATGTCAGTGTAATCCATGCTTCTCTTTATACGACAAATGCTATTCTTAATTGGTATGGGAATGTGTATGATAAAGAGTTTAACAGATTAATTTACCCATTATAACTGTGGACAAATTTGCTCGATTTTATTTATACCCTTTATTGTTCAGTTATACCATTAATACCATCGTCCACAGTTTTAGAACAGAACATATTTATTGCATTCCTTCTACCTTAAATCTTTCTTATGAATAGAATTTCATGTAGCTTTGAATAAAGGTAAAACCATAGCAAAATCATTAACAATTTTTTCAATTTATGTTAGAAGGTACAAGAGCCAAAGAGATGAAATGTTTTCTCTGTTGTGAAATTTCAAGCATAGGTCCCAGGTCCCTTTCTGACTGTCACTATCATTTTTTTTCCTGTATAAGTATTTGAAAGATAAAGCCAATAGAACATATATGTGTATATGTGTGTGTGCCTGTTTGTATTAGAAATATATCCTAATTTAAAACTTTTTGAGACTTTTATAATTTAAAGCATTTAAAATAAAAGTAATTTTGTTTGTTTCTTCATCAATAATATCACAAAGATCACCAAAATTACTTTTTAAACAGCATTATTACAGTACTTCCAGGGATTTCACACCAATGTCTAGAGTTATAACAAATTCTTCACTAAAGATAATATACAACAAAAACAATCTACTTTCACAAACTTAACCTTCACTATTCCCCTCCCCTCCCGTCACACAGGAGTATTCTTTTTTCCAGTGATATCCTGTATTTTCCCACTTCATGGCTTATAAAGTAACCAACCTCCACCCTCACATAATCTCCACTTATCCCGCTTCCAAGGTCTATCACAAATGTTGTGCCTTTCAGTCTTTCCAGAGCTCACAAAGTGATTCTGATATCTCACTATTCTCAAACTCTACTCTAATTCTACCTTGAATATTGCCAATTGTACATAACATGATACTATAACTTCATACTTATGTAATTAAATAACTAGTAATCACTTTGGTAAAATATACAGTATTCATACGCTGGAAACCTTAAGGTGTAAGTTTACCTAAAAATTTTGAGACATAGAAAATGTTCCATGATGCTTACGTTACATTCTGGCAATTTCCCGGTCAGGATGTCCTCCACTCTGATTGAAACATCCTTCACTACTATCCCACTTCTGGCATGTTTGACACTTATTTTGAAGCTGGTAATTTTTCCATTTGGTTGCCAAGGTAAATACCAAATCAGGTTTACTGCTGAATAGTTAAAGGCTTCAACTGTGAGATTCACCACTTTTCCTGGAGCTGGGGAAGGGAGAGGGATTGAAGGAGAGCAAAAAACATTGTTATGAAACTGAGAATAGCATTTACCTATTTGGGATGTTACATTTCCCATATTACATGAAATTAAATACACAATATATTGGATAAAACTTACTTGGGTAATACTTTTAAAGTATATTTGATTTTTGCCTAAAATAAAGAACTGGAAACTGGGCCCAAAGAGTTGTGTTTAAGAGGCAGATAAGTTTTACTTCACGTTTATTTGGCCAATA